CAAACTGCCGCTAATACGCTATCACTACTACTAGTAACTACTGCCACTACTACTACTGCCAATATACTACTACTATGCTGCTGCCCTGCTAGCTGCTGCTGCTGCTGACTGCTGCTCTGCTGCGTGCCTGCTGCTGCTACTACTACTACTGCTACTGCTGCTGCTGCTGCTGCTCACTGCCACTTCTAGACCACTGCTACTACTACTGCCTACTGCATACGCTACTTGACTTAACTGCTACTTGCCTACTGCTACTGCTACCTGCGCCTACTGCCCTACTGGCTTACTGTGACTGCTACTGCTATGCTACCTGCTACTGCTACTGCTACTGCTTACATGCTAACTGCTACAGCTACTGCCCTACTGCTAAAATAACATGCCACTACGTGCTACATGCGCCTGACTGACTCATAGCGGTCTATGGCCCCCAGAGGATTACTGCGGAACCGCACACACGCTTAACCCTGGTAACTATGCAAGCCTGAATATGGTTAGCGGTTAGGGTTAGGCGTAGCGGTTAGGCGTTAGTGGTTAAACGGGGTCCTAAGCGGTTAAGGTTAGGCCGATACGCGAGTAGGCGATAAGGGGCGAACTCCTAGACTTCGTTAATGGCAGTAAGACGAGCGGACGGTCCGAGCCATATTAGATAGTAGTATTTAGTAAACCAGACCGTGTAACGTTATCGTCAGCGCAGGTAACACAACTGGGGACTAGGAACCCTCTCAGCGCTACTGCCATTCAGCCTACCTAGCTAGCTCTAGGCTACTGCCTACTGCTACTGCTACTGCTACCTCGCTACTGCCCTTACTGCTAGCTAGGGTCTACTGCTACTGTACTGTACTGCCCTACTGCTACTGCTACTTGCTAACTGGCTTACTGCTAGTCTTGCTACTGCGCTACTGCTACTGCCTACTGCTACCTACCTCGGGCGTTCACTACGCTACCCTGCTGATACTCTGCTACTGCTAGCCTGCCTAACGTTCCTGCCTACCCGTAGCCTGCGTCCACTGCTACCTGCCAGTCTGCGCACCCTGCGCTACTGCTCCACTCGGCCTACTGCTACTCCTCGCCGCTACTCGTGGGCTGACTGCCTACACGCTCACAAACACTGACCAGCTCGCCGCCAAATCCCCAGCTGCTCACTGCACTTGCTACTGCTACTCGCTACCTTCGTTACCTGTAGCTCCGCTGACGCTGCTCACTAGGCATATCCTCGCACCCACGCGAACCGTGAGCCCCACTGCCTACTGCTTGGCCTGCCTTGCTGCTAAGGCTGCTACTGCTTACTGCCTGCCCTGCTGTTGCTGCTTACTCCCCTACTTGCTGCCCTACTGCTGCTGCTGCCTGCTGCTGCTCTGCTACTGCTACCGCTAACTGATACTGCTACTGCCTACTGCTAGCTGCTACTGCTACTGCTACTGCTACTGCTACTGCCTACGGGCACTGCTTACTGCTACTTGCCTAGCTGCTACACTGCCTACTCGCCCTACCCTGACTACCCTCACTCGCTCACTGCCTACCCTGCCCACTCCGCTAACTGCTACTCACTCGAGCTACTAGTACTACCTACTACTACATATATCGCATCAGGGACGTCTCATCTGTCAGTTGCGCTTACTTACCCTCGTCCGTCCGCCGATGATCGTCCTTCTTCATGACCTTAGACGGCGAAGTGGCGCTTCGATCGGCGATGTTCGGCCAGCAGCACCTTCGCGTAGCTGCCTCGTCCGATGACCTTCAGCAGCTGGAAGTCGCTGATGCTCGCCGACGCGTCCGTGCGACCTCGCGACAGTCGAAGATAGAAGCGACGACGACGTCGAGATTCTGTCGCCGCCGCGCCATTTTTGTTGCCGACGGTGCAGCTGGCCGGGTGAACGTGACGGTCACTCTGACGCGCGAGCTTGACGTCACTCACCTCATGCTCGTTGTGCACAAGCAGCTGCAGACGAACGGACATCTCCGCGTCGTCGTCGTCTTCCTCGGTGTCGGTGTCGGTGAGGTCCTCTGGCATCGCTTTTGGCACTATACCTGCGCGCAGCGACATGGGGGAGTTTATTGCGGACAACTGCCTGTCAAAATTGCTGAGAAGAGCGATCGCGGAGCGAGGAGAAAGAGAGAGGACGAGAGCATGAGAGAGACTGGAGACGACAGAGAGAGAGAGAGAAGGCGAGAGCGCGACAACCAGAGCAGGGGAGAGAGCAAGCAGAACGACAGCAGGCGGCCACGGAGTGCGGAAGGACAGTGGTGAGAAAGCGGAAAGCCGATGTAAAGCATTCAATAAATGCTGAAAGAGCTGGGAACGAGAGATGCGCGCTGGTAATGCATACTCCTCGATGCATGCCCTGTAGCTGTACATTCTAACACCGGAAGCAATTGCACCGCGGGATGGCTAGTGACATTAAGTCAGCGCTGTTCTGCCTACCTTCCTGACCGAGCTGATCCGCATTGAGCCGCACCACCCGACGCGCCGACGCGCCGCCCGAACACTCCGCCGCACCCGCCCAACTGCGGCCCGCTCGCCCAACCTGCCCGGCCCGCCGCGCTCGTTCGCTCGCTCGCGCCGCTCGATTCGCCCGCCGCTCGCTTCGGCCCGCCCGCACGCCCGCCGCCCGGACCGACGACCGACGGGACACAACTCCGAAAACCATCTAACCTCACTGCGTCGGGTGGCTCGCAGGGCCGCCGCGTCAGCGCCGGACGTGACGCTAGGTGTCGCCCGCCGCCGCGTCCGGCTGGTGGGGGCGTCGAACCTCGGCCGTTTGAGGAAGGTCGGCCGTGCAGATGCGTTAATCTGCTCGCGTCCTGATGATCGGAGTCGTGTCGACGTTCGACGTTGCTTGCCGGCCTACGAGCGGCGTGCGCGGCCGTGACTCGGCGCTCGTGGCAGACGACGTCGACGAAGGCCGATGGACCCGGCCTTGCTGCACGAGCAGCGACAGGAAGCACGCGACTTGTAGCCCGCCCTGCCCGCCCGATTGCCCAGCATGCGTCCGAGCAGAACGCGCAGGATCGCCCTCGGGGCCGTGGGCAGAAGCAGAAGCGAAGAAAATATGAGCTCGTTGCGGAACGACCGACTGATATCTATATACGTGAACCTGAATTGCTTCTTTAGTTGGCAATAGTGAACGTCACCAGACGCCATGACACCATCTCCTCGAGGCTAGCATGCAAGCAGTGAGGCCCGAATTTTCACGCTGACCTCGTGACGTCACATTCCAAAACCTCTATGTATAGACCATATATCGTTTAGTCTCTCTTTCTCTCGCGTGTATATATCTAGAATACAATGGCAATGCAATGCAATGCAATGCCCAATACAATACAATACAATACAATACAAATACAATACAATACAATACAATACAATACAATACGATACAATGACAATACAATACCAATACATACAATACAAATACAATACAATACAATTACAATACAATTACAATACAATACAATACAATACAATACAATACAATACAATACGAATACAATGAAATATGACGCAATTGTACTCGACCGTTCGTCATTTTTGCCTACGTAATCAATGCAGACCGGATTGTGGTAATGCAAGGTTCTCCCTTGTCAGGTTATTAACAAAAACCTTGTCAAAGCCATACCATTGCACGCCGAACAGCACAAAGCAGCCAGGTAATTCAATGAACACCAAACGCAAAAAAAGCTTGCGCGAACGCCTGCGAAATAAAATGTATCGTGTGACAGGAAAGTTCTTGTAATTGGTCGTAGAAATAATAAGCTACTCGCATTGCATAGCAAACCCACTTCTCGAAGTGTACACTTGAAATGATGCCGTCTGCGCACGGACGTACAAAGCGCTAATAATGTAAACCTGGCGGGTGTTCAGTCATCCGTTGTTAAGGCGATACTTGCATTTAGCGTCATGGTATGAGAACATTGGCAGAAATGAGCCCAGACGCAGAGGCGTGCATATGAGAAATTCACTTCCATAAAAGGCCTGTCACGTACCTGATCAATTGAAATGCCTCAGTGATATATCATGAAAAGCTGCCAGGATTGCACAGCGAAATGCAAACAGCCATTACCAGGCCGATTTCTATGCGAGACTGTATTTATTTATCATTTATTCTTTCGTCTTAATCAAAAATAAATATTTTATGATTTATTATTATATTAAATATCTCGGCAAGGCAAGTAAGCTTATTAATACTAGAGCTTCAATTTTAACACCATACTTTCCGGTCACTGGCAACTGCGCCGCGATGGGCGCACATACTGCGGGTCAGTGGCGCTTTCGTACGGGCAGTCGCTGACGTACTCATGCGACCACGTCGCCCGCCTTGTACGAATTACTGCCCAGTCACCTTGAACAAGCCGACCTTGCCCCTTGTGAAAACGGGCCCTCAACAAAACACGCATATCCAATTAAGCCTACAACGAAGCCCGTCTCGACTAGAAAAGGCGGACTGGCAGGCGGACGGTGATTGCGCCCGGCAGGCTGTCACACGCGGCGGGGC